GGGGGGGACGGGACGGTTTATCACATATAACTTATTTCCTACCCATTCCCCAAACCCGATAAAAAGACCAGTCCCTGACGTCATTAGCTGATCTTGTCAATGCTAAAGACAGATTGACATTCCTGTGTTGTGGAGAGGATTTCCTGTCAGTTTAGAACACAGGAACTCGAGAAAAGGAAAACTCACAGTTTCGATCTAGGTGCCTAGGATTTAATTTTTATGTTGACTTACCTTGAAGTTTTCTAGTCAGCTACTGAAGCTAAATGTCATGCTAAAATGACAGGTTTTAAGGTTACTTGGATAATCCTTTGGTATTTGAGCTATAATTTAGCCAAACAAGTCAATGGAAATCTAATTCCCGATGGCACAAATGTTTGTTCTAGGCAAGAAAGGTATGATCATCTATACTGAGCATTTAAGCCATAACTTTATTCATATGTCATGTTCTGATTTCTTATTAAGTAATCAGTTTGAAAAAATTGCTGTACGTCACTTTTGAAATTGATCAGCTGAGGTCATTGAACCCAGTGACAAAGGAGATTCTCCGGCCGCGTGGAAGTGCGTGACACGAAACCAAAATATTCCAACTGTCGAATTATCTACCACTTTAAGGTTTATTTTGTATTTTGCGTAAAATTCATTTGTTGTTTAGAGAGGCCTCGAAATTCAAAATCGTTTGTACTGTAGAAGTTGTGCACTCATTAGTTTATCTTTAATATGTGGGAATGCTTTGATACCTAAACCCAGCGAATCAGAGTAGCTAGTTCCTTAGTTGCACAGTCACGAAATGTTCTTCTTATGTTTACTGTAACCCTGAACCTCTATCAATTAGCCATTTGGAGGATGAGACAAAGAATGGCATGGTTCTAATAGGATTTGCAGTGCAACTGATTTCGGTCAGTTTTAGCGAACGAAATCTAGATGTCTTTTTGCAGTTCTTGGAAGTATGTACGCTATATAAAAAACCAGCCCTAAAATGCACAGCTATCCCAACTCGACCCAGTCTTTTCCTCGGCCTCGGAATGGTTAATTCAGTAGACACTCTTTATTAAGCGGACACCAGGCAACGAAGGTGTTCCCTTTACTGTATTTTGACGCCGTAATGATACACTGAGCAAATTAGTTTATAATCCGAAGGAACACAGGCGGTATTTTGAGTAGTACAATCTGTGGAAACTACAATTTTAAACTCGTACAGATTTATCGTTTGATTTAGACTTTTAGATGCATTGGTTCATTTTTTTAAGTTTATTTATTTCTATATTTAGTTTTGCACAGTCTTACGTGGTGTCTGTGCAACAAAGTGTGAACAAACAAGTTACTTACAAATGCCGTAGTCAACAACAATGGCCTTTCCTTTATAAAACCTGCTACAGAAACTAGTAAGTATGACATATATGCACACTCGATTGCAGAAACGTTGTAGTATACATTTATACATTTATACAAATATCTAATGAGATGCATAATACGAAATAACCATTTTCAACGCTTAAAACCAACTGATTCATAATCTGTACGATCTAATGGACAAGAATAAAATATTTTGACAGTCATTGAATGAAACAAACAATAAATAAAGCGAGTTTTCTGTTTTGCATATCATTAAATATACTGAATAAATTAGATATTTGTATAAATGTATACTACAACGTTTCTGCAATTGAGTGTATATAATTTGAGCCGATTCTTTGCAATTTGCTTTCTCGTGCAAAAGAATATCTTTGTCAAGGGTACAGATTGGGAACCCTTGGTATCAAATGAGAAAACTTTACGCCCAAGAGGTAAAAAGGTCTATTAAGATTAATATGACTTGTCACTTCAGGGTTGTGTACCAAGTTGGATACAATCAGATGTATAGAGTTGCATACCGGACTGTATACACGTGCTGTGACGGATGGCAACCCACAGGCAGTAGCTGCACAACGCGTAAGTAATAACAACAGAATCAACGGTGGTGTAACAGTAGTACAAACGCCTCTTACCTCTGTGGTATCGGGTTTGATTCCTGCACTTGCCATCCCATGTGCGAATAGACTCAGTTTGTTAGGTCTCTACCTTCATTAAAGGATTGTTCTGGGTTCATCGGTTTTACTCTCTCCTCGCGCCTCTCCGGTGCATGTCTGGAGTCTTGAATCGGTCTCGATTCTTGGACTCGGCATTACAAGTGACTAAGAGTTTTTAATGTCTCTAGCTACCCCTGATTTTAAAGTTTATTTCTGTGTTCTTTGATTTTCCTCAGTCTCCTCAAAAACTAACAAGCTAAATTAAAATTCGACCTTTGAGTTAGCCATGCCCTGACCGTTGTTAAGCCCAGAGGTTGTTTCAGGATTCAATCTGTGAGTTAGCCATCCCTGACTTAGATCAGCCCAGAGGTTGTTTCAGGGTTTGATCTGTGAGTTAGCCATCCCTGACTTAGATCAGCCCACAGGTTGTTTCAGGATTCAATCTGTGAGTTAGCCATGCCTTGACTTAGATCAGTCCAGAGGTTGTTTCAGGATTCAATCTGTGAGTTAGCCATCCCTGACTTAGATCAGCCCAGAGATTGTTTCAGGGTTCGATCTGTGAGTTAGCCATCCCTGACTTAGATCAGCCCAGAGATTGTTTTAGGGTTCGATCTGTAAATTAGCTTTGCCTGACTGATTTCCATTCCTACATGTTGCCACAGCAATCTGTTCCCATGGCTGCTATAACGGGACATGCATTAAGCCTAATATGTGCAAGTGTCTACCCGGTTACCATGGACCTGCTTGTAATCAAAGTAAGTAAGTAAGTAAGTTAAGTAAAATATTTTACTGATTATATCAAATAGCATGAGCAAACGTGTGTGCGCAAATGTTATGTGTAAAGATTTYGTAGAACGAAAGAAAGTGTATTATATATATAACCGATTGCATAATGATATGGAACAATAGAACCTTATAAATTCTAGGATAAATAGCTAGATCTCTTAGTATATATTTCTAATTCATAATCTCCACCTTGAAGACATATTGTGATTGTCTTTATTTTTCAGCCTGTCAATCAAACATGTGGGGTCCCGGATGTAAAAACACATGTCAGTGCAGAAACAACGCTACTTGTGACATGCGCAACGGGTCTTGCTTTTGCTTACCTGGATGGCAAGGGAAAATATGTGACCGGCCATGCCAACAAGGTTACTATGGTAAAAAATGTGCCCTGGCTTGTACCTGTCTAAATGGTGCAGACTGTGACCACGTAACTGGCGACTGCAGTTGCCCCCCTGGTTGCCAAGGGCAACAGTGTAATGTCTCTTGCAATATGGGTCACTATGGTAGCAACTGTCAAGGGATTTGTAAATGTCAAAACAATGCCAAGTGTGACAAAGTGACTGGCGCATGCTCGTGCGCACATGGCTACCAAGGTACATTCTGTGAGAAGCCGTGCAATTCAGGTTTCTATGGTAACAGATGTCAGGAGAAGTGTCAGTGTGAGCACGGTTCTTGTGATCACGTGGTTGGCACGTGCTCTTGCAAAGCTGGTTATAGTGGTTCAAGGTAAATTATATGTTTAACAGCTTCCTTACCTCCTTCCTATACCTTCCCACCCATTATCTACTCAGCTACATTACACTGGATAGGAGGGAAGTACTCGAATTTAAGGTTGAGAAGCATACTAATTAGTACCAATTCATACAGAATCCTTTGTTTTC